CTCTTCAATCTCAAATTCTTCTAATCTTGAACACTATGAAATAGACATGGATGAATGTTTCAGACACTAACCACAGTAGTGATCCCCTTTATCAATTGGGGTGAAAGGGAGACGAGAATAGATTGGGCAAGAGATGGCACAGAAACTTCAGCTACAACTGTCTTCAAAGCTATGCTGGCAACATCACGGTGCTGGTCCTTCCCATTCAGCAATTTGTCACAAAGTTTATTTGTCATCTCCACAACCCGTGTTTCACTAACCTTCTTCACCAATGGAGCAAGGCTGAAATTTGAATTGACGAAAGAGATTAAAAGAAAAGGTCAAGAACTAGAAATAGAATACCACACCAACACTCTAATTAACTTGACCGATTCTATCTCTCTTATCGTTTTTTTACACACGTGCATACAGAACACCTTCCTCTTGAAGAAAAAGACAGGCTAAAAGTTCACAGAGAAATAATCATCTAGTGGAATTGCAGTTGCATGGTAAGCAACGAGCATTGAGGGTGAGTAACATGGAAAGGGCAATGATCAGAAAGCAGAGAGGGTAAGATCCTTACTTACCATTTCACAGCTAACCCAGAAACATCACCGGCTGCATCATCGAGCTGTTGTATGATGATGTTTGACAATTTTATCTCCAGGTCTGTATCAGCTTTAAAAGTCTCTTTGTTTAACTCGTTTAACAAATCAGATGTTGCCATGTATCTGTAATCTTTATCCTTGCCTGTCATCTAACGAGTAACTCGTGCGAGTAAAACCAACCATAAGCATCCGAATTGAAGCAGCATAAAATGTCAGTGAAGAAAAAATGTAATTCCTTTGCAAAAATAAAAAATAAAAATGTAATAGATAGACAAAGATTATATCTGCTTGTAAAATCCGGTCAAAAAAAAAGGTACCTTCTCCAGGATACCCGTCATTGCTAAATTCGCCATTGCCGTGCTATTTATCTAGACCTGATAGAATGTCGCTGTGCAGGATGTGAATGATCTGAGGAGTTGCAACCATAGCAAAGAGAAATCACATACTTTCAAAAGAAAGACCAAATGTATTTGTAAATTGATCAACTATGGATGCTCCGGAATGAAAATGGCATCATTTAATGACCTCTGGAAAGTAATTATCGGAAATGACAGTGCACGTGAATAAAGAAACCCTAAAACACAAAACCAGACCGCAATATCATCGGCATGCGCAAGAAAAAAACGACAGAATCGAAGAGGGAAAACCCTAGACAGCAATAACAACAACAGAGCGACAGAAAGTACATCAATGGCGGTCGATACATCAACGAGGTCGGAAACGGAAGGGAAAAAATAAAGTTCAGCCATGGCAGTGGAGAAATGGAGAAGCAGAGAATCCGAAGGAGAGAACTGACCTGCGAAGCGCAGCAGTGGCTGTAGTTCACTATCAGACTTCAGGAGTCAGGTGTGGCAGATCAGAGGAGAGAATCTGAGTATGAGACTTCGGCTTTTGTTCATTGCCTCGTTTTCTTTAATCTACTCGTCTACCAGTTTAACGAAGTATTACATAATTTCTTCTTTTTTTATTTTATTAAATGTATACATTTGATGGAAAATGGCTGCAAATATATAAATAAATAATTTCTTGCTCTATATTTACTACGATGCGTCTTATATCTGTTTAATTTGTGGAATTTAAAAACTTTTTGCCAAAAAAAAAAAAAACATTTGCTGTGGTAGAAGGGGTGGTAAGGAAGAACGAAATTATATTTTCTAAAACATGCGTTTAAAAATCAGTTTAAATGATTTTAAACTATCTAAAATTAATATAAAGAAAAGTGATTTTGATAACAGCACTTAAAATCCTCCGATACACACTTTTTATTGTGTTTGGGAGTGATTTTGGCCGGATCAAATCACTTTTGATATTATCAAAATCACTTTCATTTCCATCTATCATGTTTGACAAATTAAAAGATTGATTTTTAAGATATTACTTTGTGGTGATTTTGAAAAATCAATTATACTTAAATATATTTTTTAAAAGTCACTAATTTTATCGTCACTCCCAAACACACATTTAATCTATTGTATGTATTTGCATGTCTCTATATCATCATTCAATCACGTTTCTATCGAATTATGCAATATAAGATTCGAGTAACAAGCTGAGCTGACTGAGTTGGACATAAATGCCTGCAACCAAATAATGAGCACATTGATGTTCAAGTTAGTTAAAGATATGAATTTCTCAACCTATTTCAGACAATATTGCATAGCTAATTGAGTGGAATAAAAGTATATTTATAGAGATTAGGTATTAATATCTATTGCAAGAATCATAAAGACAATCTTGACAACCATTTATTTTGTTTGAACTACCCCAAATGATCGAGGGGACAGTTGGATCCGTAGCTCAAGGGCTGATTAATTAGGTTAAAGAAAATATGGGATGACCTCATAAAAGACGTGTGTGTGGTCGGACTTCTTTCTTTATAGTGCTGCCCGCCCCCTTCTTCATTCATCCATTTAGGCCCGACTAGGAACACGTGGATCCAGAAAACCTAATTCGGGAACAATTTTTGTAACGCTCGACTAAAATGAACCGATACAACATCCGAATAAAAGGGACCTTGAGACCATAGAAAGTATGGTTAAGAAAGCTTAAAAGAAATAATAGTTACTACCTATACTAACAAGGTGCACATTTCTTTTCGGTGGTTCAATCATAAGAACTTCAAAGTTAAGCGTGCTTGACTTGGAGCAATTGACAAAACATGATGGAAGGACTCGTGTTGGTCTGTAGGAACAGTCTACGCTCTTCTAAGTGGCTCAGAGTTTGACAGTGGTGCAATCAGATCGCAGGAAAATACCGAGGCATAGAGGTGACAAGCCACTGATCTCCTAAGCTTGAGATTCTAAGCTATAGATGGCGAGCTATGCAGATCAATATCATAAGTTGATAGACACCCTCTGCACATGGTCTACGTGGTAATATCTCAATTACGAGTGTATATGGCTGCAATTTATTTGCCAAAATGTCTTGATGAGCCAACTGCACGCTACCTATGTTTTCCAATCCACCAAAAATACAATATGGTTGTTGTAGTATTTGCTCTTAATATATCAAGTTCGTTCGCACTCATTCATGTGATCTAAGACATTATGAAAATAGATGGATGATTGACTTCCAAGTATTCACAATCGCCCCGACTATTTCGCGCAACTAGGTTTAATGGTACTAAAAGAAGAAGGGGGTTTAATATCGTGCTTAATGTTTTTCTTTTTTTGGTACTTTGTTTAACGTTCGGCAAAGCTTAATGTTGTGTCTATTTAAATTTTAATTTTTCATTAATCAAGTAATGAAACGTATGAACATAGTTCAATTGATTAAGATACATATTTTTTATAAAAAAATTATAAGTTTGAATCCCTACCTCGTGTGTTGTAATCAAAAAATTAATAAGTAATTTCAACCATTATTCAAAATTATGCATTTATTTCGAAAGGAAAAAAAATCAAAATTTTTTAATACAACATGTGGAAGTCGAGATAAACTAATCTCTTAATCAAACATAACATAATTAGTTAATCCATATTCAGATCGGTAAAAAGATAATAATATTATTAAATAAATAATTATGTATATCCAAACATTGACATATTATGATATTAATATCAAATTTGAAGTAAATTTAAATATTGTTAAAGTGGACAATGCATATGGGTGAGGATTGGAACTCACGACTATTTAGTTGTGCATGAGTTTTTTAACCAATTTAGTTACGTTTCGATTGGCAAAGTTTACATGGAACAGTAAATAAATCACAAAAAATAAGACTTTGAAAAAAAGAAATCACACTAAAGGGCATAAAACAAATATACATGGTAAAAATGTCGTTATTTTAGATCTTTACCTATAGGTAAGAGACATGTACTACTTATTACTAAGCTCGTTTGCTTAAAGAATGAAGTTTAGTTAGTCTAATCTAATTTTATAAATTGGTCATTTATGTCGATTTTGTAAAATTTTAATACAGATATGATATATACTTCTTTTCGAGCTATTTTTAAATCTAAAATATGGGGTAGAAAATATACTTACGTGGAAGAATTTTCTAAATGATATATGATATTAAATTAAACAAGAAAAATGACATACTTGCAACTACGACGATAAATTTTATGATATTGTTGGCACATTCATTCCTTGAACAGTGACAAAACTCTGGGGATTAGAAAAGATAAGATGCAATTGTAATGTATATATAGTTTATAGTTCAACCCAAGAAAATTCAAACATATCATTGATACAATCTAACATATACATACAAGAAACTTAACAAAAGAACATTCACAATAAGGACTAAATCGTTACCAATTTTAAATTATAATGATTAAATTGTTACATATTAAAGTTCAATGACTAAATTGTTACTAATTTGAAAGTATGAAGACTTAATCGTTTACAAACTAAAGTTTAGGAACTAAACTATTACGCAGCACATGAATTAAAAGTATTTTTTAAAAAGGAAAAAAAAAATACGTTGACCACCTGCTTAGCAGCACCGGCCACTAAAATTTTAATTTGCCGCAAACATCTAATAAAAAAAAATCAAATTACATTTATTTTAAAATTCTCTCTTTTCATGCCGACCAAATAATTTCAAACTAATTTTCCCTTCAAAAAAGAGAAAAATTTAAAACTATTTTCAATATTCCAAACGAAGGTCGCTAAAGTTTCAATGCTTCTTAGTAAAAAGAAAATTAAAAAAAAAGTTTAAATGCTTATATATATATATATATATATAGATATAAACAAAAGAGTATAATTGATTAACAAAGTATAAATTTCTAAACGCAAAAATTAATAAATTATTATCATCCTTCCAGATTTAAATGATGAATTAGAATTAAAAAAAAAATGTTTAAACGTAAATTCCATAAAAGTTGCTGCTATAACGGCGGGGCCCACGACCCCCACTAGCATACAACGAAGAACGTATACCACAAATCGCAGAGGATAGAAATTCCATTGACAATGACAGACAAAAAGTTTTCAATTCTCACCTTCTCTTTCGCCATTGATTTCCTCTGTAGCTCCGTTTGGCAATTCCATTTGTAGGCCACCTGCTCATCTCCTCCTTCTCTCCCATGTCTTCCTTCGTTAATTCCAATGCTACTTCCTTCTTATTGTTCTCGTCGCTTGCATTTCCCTCTTCCTGATCCGCCCATCAATTCCTCGCTCTCTTTTGATTCCTGATTCGTTTTTGTCTCGATGGCTCCGATCAAGCTCAAGCAATCCCCCAACTCCGCTGCCAAATCCGTTGCTTCCTCCACCGAAGCGCGCATTCTCGTCCGGGAAACTCTGCGGATCAGTGCTAGCTTGGCGTCTGCTCCTGCTGACTCTGTCCCCCCGGCGCTCTCTCTTGCTGGACCGCAGGCGAGGAAGCTTGGTATTGTGGAGGACCAGTTCCTTGATTCCAGCTTGAGGTTGATTTGCTGCGAGGAAATCGACGGCCGCAGGTGGAATTATGTAGCTGATAATGAACCATCCGGGAGGACCAAGAACGGGGCGATCCGCGCCATTTGCCTGCAAACGCCGCTAGCTCCTATCGATGTTAGTAGTTTACATTCTGTTTCTTTTCCCAATTAATTACTTACTTATATTGATCCATTATATGTGGCTGAGAATTGTGCTACTACACTCATTTTATTAAGTATTCTACCTGGTTTAATTTAACAACCGCTACTACCCAATGTTCGGGAAATCCTTCCCTGAACAGTACATGTTCCTGTGGGTCTTAGGGTAACGAACGGGTGTCTGCAATCCTCTTGAGGAAACAAGAAATTGGTTATTGCCCAAGAACTCGTATAATTGTGTTGCTTTATTAAGTAGTTCTTTATGTTTCAGAAAGAATTATGAAATCTATTTGTAGTGGTTTATTTGTTTACAAATTTCGTTGGCTAAGAGGAAATTGATTTATCTGCTGTTAAATGTTAATCAATAGGAATGTAGTTTATCTTCTTCCAATTTATTGTTGTTGTGATTAGGGTAATCTGTAATGCAGGAGATGATGTCCTTCGTAAGATCATATGTAGTCCCAGAAGGCTTCCCTGACAGTGTTACCCCTTCATATGTACCGTACATGACGTGGAGGGCTTTAAAGGTTTGGTTCTAATTTTAGAGAAAATGATGCAGGCTTGTTAGGGGTATGTTTGTAATTACTTATAAGTTATGGTTTAGCTGGTTAGTTTAAAGAGTTGGTTGACTAATAATTATTTATTAGATCATGGTAGCTAGTAGGTTAGTTTTAATAATTACGTAATTAATTTCCATAAATCCCTTAACCAAAGCCTATAAACGGTGATAAAAGATGTAGACCAGTTCCCATAAACTCTACCAAGGAATTACCCAAACTGTCCTTTCCCTTGGAGATATGGTTAAACAAAGCTAATGTGAAAGGGTAGCAACTAGCAAGTGTCTATGTTTCCTCTTAAAAAAAGGAGAAAAATATTCAATTTGTTTTTCTACTCCTCATAAATACCATGCTGTAGTAATGATGACTTGGTTTATTGCACTGCAGCACTTCTTTGGTGGAGCTATGGGTGTTTTCACAACACAGACGCTATTAAACTCTGTTGGTGTGGCCAGAAATAAAGCTACTCCTGGGGCCATTGCTATTAACTGGATTCTAAAGGTAACAGCCTTTGTAAATGCTGTCGCACCTGTAATTTCTTGATTAGAAACATAGTTCCGCTCCTGCTACTTTTCTGCTCAAAAGAGGATGAATATATCTAAGAAGTGAGCATGCTTATACACAGAAGTGGTTGCCTCGTTCTTCTCATTTAACTTTTGTACATGCTACTGTTATGATTCGGATGCTTACATTGATGACATTTATACTTTATACATCCCCCCTCAGCTGAAACTTTCCAAAGTGCATTGTATTCTATTTTTCATAGTAGAAATTTTGTTATCACTTTGACTTTTTCCAGTGGTGCTGACCAGCAGCAATTAATCATAGTGAATGTCTGTCTATGTTACGATATTGACCTCGGCTAGGTTGTGCTATCATTCATTATTGATGTTAACTGTTATAAAAATGTTAGGAAAATTCAAATGGTATCATTAGCACTCTAGTTATATGTTGTTGCCGCAGAAGTAGCTTAGCATAGTGCATGTATGTTGCTGCAGACATTTGAGGAAAAATAAAATTGTAGTTTCACTCTTGAAGTGATTCAAGAATATTCAACAACATTTTAGGAGAGTATTTGGTAAAGAGTTGCTCCTCAATATAAATATTGGTAGATAAGGATCATATATATAAAAAAAAAGGTAGAAAAGGACTTAATAGTCAACATTTAATCAAACTACCAAAAAGTTCACATCTTTTCAAAGAAGTTCAAAAGCGATGCGGAACGTGGTTGGTTAAGATCTTCTTCTGTTCTTTCTCTCCGGGTGTTAAAATTTCTCTCTAATTTCTTCTGGTTGGTTGTTTCTTCTATTATTATTTAACAACTCAGCACAAAGTGTTTCTTATCATCACAGCACTTCATACCCTTGTCTTGCTATTCAATGTATCTTTTTCACATTTTAGTTGTGCAGGCAGAATTGGGTGAACTGACTAAGTTGTAGCATTTCTTTATAGGACGGTGCTGGTCGTGTTGGTAAAATGCTCTTTGCTCGACAAGGGAAAAAATTTGATTATGATCTCAAGCAGGTAAATTTTGTTTACTAGTTAGTCTCCACAGAAAAGCTTGCTCTCAATAGCGACTGAGTTTAATTTTTTTGTTAAAGATCTGCCTTCTGAACACTGCGAGGATATGCAGCTACGTTTTGCAGGTGATCTCCTTATGGAGTTGGGTGCTGGGGTAGAGCTGGCAACTGCTGCTGCACCACATCTTTTTCTTCCTTTGGCTTGTGCTGCTAATGTTGCCAAGGTTTGATCATTTCCTTGTAAGTTTCGATATTCAGCTGTTATGAAATCTCATTTTGTTACTTGCTTGCAGAACGTTGCAGCTGTAACATCAACATCAACCCGCACTCCAATTTACAAAGCCTTTGCAAAAGGAGAAAACATTGGAGATGTCACTGCTAAAGGAGAATGCGTGGGAAATATAGCAGATCTGGTATAGTTGGGCCCTCTCTTCAGACCTCGACAAAGTAGATAGTTTGTGTTTGACAGAATTTGCATAATCCTTTATTGAAAAAAAAAAAATTCCTCAGGCTTAAAATTATAGAATATGTAAGGTCTTAAGCAAAAAGTGACAATTATTTGTTATTATCAATTTGATATGTGTATTTCAATATGACCAGCAGGTGATATGCAGAGTTGCATACGGAATTATTGTTCTTTTTTTTTTAAAGAAAATATATAAATAATCTTAATAAGAAACAAAATACCACCATAATATATAATAAAAGAGGCTACCGAAGTACAGAGCACGTGAACGAGACATCTCCTTCGCTTCCCCAAAAGTTTATTAGCACCCCAAGTTTGTGTTAATTAGATAAGTAGATTAATTTGCCAAAGAGAAATCTTTGTAAGCATGGGAACTAGAGGCTCCGTACCAATTTTAAATGATTACAAAAATCCTTGTGTTTACAATTAAATTGTTCTGTTGTTTGTAAAACCAGAGTGACTATAGAAGGGCTTTTTGGAACATTTATTGATAGGCTCTAGCTTTTCAATAGACCATTATCCAGATAAATCTTTTAGGGAGCAGATGATTGGTATCTCCTAGAGAACACAAAGCCAAACTGAACTTATAGCAGAGTTCCTATAAGTAACTAGTGGTCTAGAGTTTCCTACCCAACTTCCTGTTCAAAAAATCTGAAGGGAGATGGCAATGTGGGGTTATTGAATGTTGTTTGTTTTATAGAATGGATGTTGTTTCTTGTACCAAAAAAAGAAAGGTCTACTCAATCATGTTGATGATTTTCTGAAAAATTGAAAAAATTCAGAAATTGCTATGATTTTCTACGTCTTCTAATAATGTTGTAACGCGCAAACTTTTATGTTGTTTCTTCTGGATGTGAAGTTTTATGTATCATTACTGTATGCTTCACGTTGATTATGTCTTAGGAGATTATAAATTAAGTTTCAGATGAAGCTGATGCAAGTTTCACTTATGTCTTGTGAAGCTAGGGACTGGACTAAGCATAATAATTTCAAAAAGAAATCCATCTTTGGTTACTACTTTTGGTCTCCTTTCATGCGGTTATATTTTCAGCTCTTATCGAGAGGTTAGTCTGCAACCGTAAAAATTGGTTGATTTTTTTTGCACTTCTCATTTATCTTGATTCTGGAATTTCTGGTAGTCATTCTAGTTCCACATATGCAACTGTTTTCAGGTCAGATCTGTTGTGTTGCATACGTTGAACAGAGCGAGATTCAATGTAGCAGTAGAGTCTTTCATACAAACAGGTGCTTTAAGTGTTCTCTGACAACAAAGAAAAGGAGAGAGAAACAAAGATGTTTCTAATCCTGAAGTCCCTTTTCTAGTGACTTAAAATCTAGCTAAAAGAATAAAGAACATTACTTTTTATTTTTATATTTGTTTTCAGGGCGAGTACCCTCATTGCAGAAGGGGAATATGAACGAAAGAATATTAAGTTTCCCGTGGCTGAAGGAGAGTCCAGTAGTTCTTGGTAAATAATTCATCTCAATATGTTTACATGCATTTCTGTCATTTATCTCAATGAAATTTGCTTTCTCGTTAAGAAAAATGTGCCGTGATTTTTTGTAGTCAAATGAATTAAATGCAAGCATGAAAAATTCAAGTATATCCATTTACTAGATCAGGGTTGAAGCGTGTAAATATATTTTCAATTTTTGCAGGACCAAGATTCAAGGACGCATTCCAAGATGCTGGTTCATATCTTGCCATAGAGCCCTTGTTTGATGTATGTAATATCATCTTTCTGATCATCTCATTATTTGGCATGCAGTAGCGTTACTCATTCTTTTATTTTCACTTTCTGACAATTTTTTCTCGATGGGTAATAGAGAGAAAAATACATTGTGACGTACAACCAAACTAAGGGCAAGGTATATGCATTACTCAAAGATCAAGCGAAGTCAGATGACATCCTAAAAGCTGCTTTCCATGTAAGATACATGACTTGTTTTTGTTGTATTTTTCAGCTCACCAATGTTTTTGCTTCTTGTAACATAAGTTATTTTTCTACAGGCTCATGTGCTTTTACATTTTATACGCTCATCAAGTGGGGGTCAGAACTCTTCTCGAAAACATGGTGATGCCTTTTCAAACTTTGTGCCAGCAACGACCAATCTTGAGGCACAAATTGCTGCATCATGTAAAATGGTCTCAACCTCATATGATATTTTCAAGAGTAAAGCTTTAGAGCAGGTAGGCAAATGTGCATGTTTTGTTTTTTTGCTCGTGTTTAATGAGTTATTAYCTAATATTAAAATATATGGAAGATAAAATTAGCCGGCAGTATATTTTACCCGATGAACTGGTGAATGGCAGTGGAAATATGAGATTCAATTTTAGCCTCTGTTGTACTTGTTAATTATGCAAAAGCTTAAATGGATAGTGTACTTTCACCCATTGAATTATGTTTCTGAAAATATTTGCAGCTCTAATTTAGTTGAAAGAATCCAAAACATCAAATACAGTACCATGCGCTATAACATGTGTCCCACTGGACATTGCTTCAGTAAAACTTAGCCTATCCATATCATTCTCTTATGTTGCATTAGACAGAAATATAGAGAATGCCAACTTATTTTCATATGTTGATGGGAATCTAAATCAAACGAAGTTTCTAACGTCTTATCTGAGCATCATCTGCCGTCTTGAGTAACATTAAGATCAAGTGATCAAGAAGTTGTTTCAGACAACTATACTTGTCTTTATAACATAGTAATTGCTTATTGTTATTCTTTTGTCTTGGCAGGGATGGGTGATGGCAGAATCACTACTCAATCCTGGTAGAGCTCGATTATGTCACAGATAAATAACTATGGACAAGATGTTCATCAGTTAATACACAAGCGGGTAATATATATTTCAAAGATACAAAGGCTTGCACCAGTTTACCATTGATTTCTGGAGAATATCAAGTCTCTTTGATTCGTGGAGATCCTCGTCAGACGACAAGCCAGTTGCTTTCCAGTTTATAGGTTCAAAAATGGTCCAGTTAAGGGTTCAAGTCCAATGAATTGGTAACAAAAATCCAGTTGAAGTTTAACAACAGGTAAGTTTATGTATATGCGCCTCAGCCCCCATCTCTTTATCCATTTCCAGGAATCTCTCTGTTTGCTGTTAGGATACTAAAATTTTGTTGCTAGTATGCTTTTTCCACCGAGTATTTTTGCATGGTACATATATCTTTAGGCTCTTTCAGTATTACTTTTTGCAACTCTCTCTCTCACTTTCTCTCAACATTTATGGTAGCTGGAGGATTTGGTGATGTGATAGGTTGTACCAAACATTTCATAATGTCGTTTGATTACAACTTTCAATTATTTCAGCCACTAGATATATCTGTTAAACTAGATCTTGGCGCTAATCTTATATTAAGCATACCACCTTGTTAAGTCAGCATCTGAGTATGATTGAGATTCAAATGAAGTTAAATCTTATTCGTAATACTTCAAGTTTGAGTTTGGTGTATATTTGATCCTTAGAGTTTCAAAAGAGATACTTTAATCCTTGAAGTTTGGAAAATAATCCTCATTTGATCATTAATTTGACTAATGGAAAGATGGCGTGATCGTTTTATTAGTTAAATTAATAGTCAAATCAATCTAGGGACCATTTAGAACAATTTCTTAAACTTCAAGGACTAAAGCATCTCTTTTGAGATCAAATAGATCTCAAATTCAAGGATGACAAAAATGTATTTTACCCCTTATTTTATTCATGTAATCGTGGTTTTATCTCTAATTTTAGTAGGAGGGGGAGGCAACTCTTGCCATTAGAAAGTTAGTAATACTCAAGCTTGAAAAATATCTATAATTTGGATGGAATAAAAAGCAAAGCTGAGTATATTTGTTATCAACTAAATAGTAACTGATATTAAGCAATATTAGAATCTAAGTGAAGGCTAAGGATAACACACCGAAATCATAATGTCTGAAGTCTATTGAACCAAGTGAGAGATGACTTTTTGACCCTACATCTGTTGTACTAAAAAAGATAGCAAGAGTTGTTCCTTTATAAAAACAACCACCAGATGAACATGAACATACTACAAGTTGATATATTGAATTTTTGCTATGCCCTTCATTTATTTATATTACCTTTTTAGTATAACAAGTTGGGTGGGCGAGGGATTCAAATTCATGATCTTTCTGGTTAGAGATAAGTGTCAATTACCGTTGAATTAAACTCATGTTGACATTTATTTCTTATTATATCACTTAGAAACGCTTTTGTGATTTTAATTCTCATAGAAAGTAAGATACACGTGGTACATTTACACCACCACACACAGTTTAGTTCTATATTCTTAGCTTTCTTTCATCTTTTGTTTTGTTTTGGTAACTATATTTTCAACTTTTGTTTGTTTTAGTTTCTGTACCTTCAAAACATCGGTTTCTGTCTTGGTCTTTGTATTTTTCAAAAAGTGATTAATTTAGTCTTATTTGCAAAATTTTAACACAAATTTTATATACAATAAAAACTATTTAACACAATTTATGGCGGCATTTAAAAAATTTAAGGCCCGTTTTGTAACGTTTATATTTCTAGTTTATCATTTCTAATTTTCTTAAGAAACCTAAGCATTTTACAATTAACTATGTTTTTTGTTTCTCATTTTTGCGAAACATTCTTAAAATTGTATAGAAATTTTTTGAAACAACTGTAACAAGTTTCTTTTTTCTTGTTCCCATTTCCAATTTTCTCCAAAAACATAAATAAAAATATTGTTTTATCATATTTGAATTCATAGATGTTGGGACAAATGAAGACGAAGATGAAGAGAGCGATTCTTGCCACCCTCGAACATTTTAAAATTAAAATATAAAAACTTAGATCTCGATTAAAAAGTTGAAAATGAATGTTTTATGAATTGCATCCACAACCACAACATCCCATTCACCGGTGGTTGCCAATTTGGGTGTGTGTAGATGGTTCTGTTAATTTGGAGAGGGCATTGGAATGTTCCAGATTGCCCCACCTTCTACTTCTACATTCTAGTTGCACAAAATGGGAACAAATTCTATTTATTATTTGGTGGTTAAAAAAAATATTTATTATTCGAAATAAAAAGAAATTCTCTGTTCAACCTGACTCTATGGCAACAAAGTGAAAGGTAGGCTAACTCTATAAACATGGAACTATAACGAGATTCAATCGGATGATCACGCTTCTAAGAAAAAGTGTCTATTATATCTATCAAAAAGTCAATCATGAACGATTGAAATTTCAATCTATTTTAATTTTTCTCTTTATAATGCGGGTGGTAAAGTTTTTGTAACATATTGGTGTTTTCTCGTTTAAAAAAAAAATTGATACAAATTAATGATGAGGGCAAACATAATCTTTTATGCAAAGTTTTATATTGAAGGACAATGATAGATTATTGCTATTTGAAGATTCACGAGAATATGATTTTTTATCACATCCAAATGGTAGAAAGAAATATTATTAGATCAAGCTATCAAAATATGACTACCTTCTAATAACCATAAGATAAAAGATTCAAAATACATTTTATCATTTCTCTCTTATATCAACGATGTAAACCTATTAATCAAATTGTGACCACTTCCTCCAATAATTTCTCGTAGGGAGGAGGCCATCGAGTACAGTGACCAAGATGAGTTTGATTAAGGGGTGAACAACTTGATTCAATCAATTTCATTAATTTTCTCCATTTTGACTTGCATTCCTAAAGATATAATTTTCGTCCCAAACATTTGTGATACTTTTCAATTTTCTCCTTTAATCTCTTAGAAGTATCAATTGCAATTCCATTGATTTTTTTACCCTCAAAGTCTTTAACTAGAATTAATTGATATGGTGTGATATCAGTTGAAATAAAATACCATATACTTTAATTAAGTGAAACAAACATATCCCAATAAAATCGAAAGTGTACCCATTTCATGTGATGTGACTCGTAATAGTTTATCCAACCAAACCAAATCGTTATTATTGAAAATTAGATACATTAAATGATGAACATCAAATTTCTTTAAAAATTAAAGACAATTGAAAAAAAATGAAATATGGTAGGGCAAAAGCAAAACCATACATTTGGCCTAAAAATTATATGCATTAAATGGCAGGTATCATTAAAGATGAAGAATAACAATGTGTTCCCTACTACAGTTTTAGTTGCGGAAGAATAAGGGGCCATTCATTGAAATAATGAATGCGATAAATAATGCAATTTTTTTAGTGTCAATGAACTGAACTCAACCAAAAATTAAAATTAAAAAAAAAAAAAGACTACTATGAAAAATGGAAACAAGAAAGTGCTCTAAAAAGAGCAGTTACGAGCTCACAATTCTTTTGAACTCAGCAATGCAATTCAATGCCTTCTGAAATTCACTCTCCTCCAACGCTATTGTGAACCGACAGTATCCAGGAATTCCTGTCCATGAGCTGCTGTTGATGCACAAACCAGTGGCCTTAAGAATGGCTCCTCTGATGCTCGAATCGTCGAGCTTCGCTTCGTAATCAATGGCGTTCTTCAGTTTGATTGTCTTGTTCAAATAAGCAGTTGGCTTGGCCACCACGGAAACTCCAGCGTGGGGCTCGAGCACATCCCATCCGCAGCTCTCAAGTGTCTATAGTGAGAAAATGATAGTCAGATAACTTGAAGGGGAGGCCACAATGAGAGCTTTTACTCAGAACTCAAACATGTCAATGGGGGCATAGACATACAAAAATCTTACAACCAAACCATTTGGGGGTATGTTTGTTTCTTTGACATCTATCTCAAATAACATAATTACATAAAGCAACTTCTATATATAAAAATAAGATAAACAGGTTTTTTTTTTTTTTTTTGTCATAGTCGAGGATGTTTTTGACAAAGTGTCCGTGACAGAAATACTAGTGTGTTTTTTCTTTCCAGACATGTGGCGGATACGCCATATGAAGTTTATGTAAAATTTAAAGAAAAAGATATAAGCCCACCTAAAAGAAATCAAATGAAAAAACAAAAGGCCAGCAAACGAGTCTATTAAGCACTTAGAAGCTCTCAAAATAAGAAAGAATCCAAAAGTTATAATTTAAAAAGGAATATTCTAACCGACTTCTTTCATGGTTCCACATATAGTTAATTTATTTAGAAATATTACTAAGTCAGTATATGCATATATATTATCTAAAAAATATAAAAAAGAAAAATAAATCACATGTCCCTTGCATTTTAGTGTCCTATAACTTTAAGAATTGGCGTGCTCGGTAGTTTTACCGAGCAAACAAAGTGAATTCAACACATCAAGAAAATACTTGTTGGCTCCTTACAAGCGAGGACCAATATTGTTCTCACCATCATTGAACGTTCAACAATTAAGAGAGAGAAACGTAAAAAGAGATAATTTTTCTAAAACTAATGAGTTGTCAAACATTCAATGATGGCGAAGATAATATTTGATCCTCATCGAGGTAAGGAGCCAAGTATTTTTCTTCTAATATTGTGCACAGGAACTGGAAAAAATTATATAACAGAAAAATTATGATTACCTCTTTCAGGCGTTTGGATCTACTTCTCAGATCCTTGATCTGTTTGGAAACAGCATCCCACATGTCTCCTGATTTCTGCTCTCTCAGTCCCAACAACTTCTTTATAGCATATTTCACGGTGCTGTGGGGTCTACTTAATCCTGAGAAGCTATGGAACAAGTCGATCAAAGGCGGTTGGTTCAAAGCCAGAAAACCAAATTTGAGGGCGCCCGTTAGCATCATCGGTGATAGTCCTCCAAGCAGACACACACAAAACGACGGATTGCTAGATGAGTAAAGCCTTGATAGAACGCCCTCCAGGTTCCAGCCACCCCATCCCTCAATATCATATTCCAATCCTGAAAATGAAGTATCAATGATAACCCTAGCCCCAAATTTGGCACATGTGGTTAGCAAATTCTCAATTTCTTTCTGGTTGTAAAGCAGACCAGTTGGGTTAATTGTTGGTCCAGATATGTATACCCATGGGTTTTTCACATTGTTGAGTACTTGATTAAGTGCATTCTCTGTTAGCTTGAATCCTTCTTCAGATTTGGTTGGTATATTTACAATCTTTGCCTTCAAGAAATTGGCACTGTAAGCATAGTTTCCATAGGTCCCAACTGGAAAACACAGTGTTCCACCTTCTTGAATACAGCAGAGAACCATCTTGTTAAACAATGTCAACGCGCTGTCGGCATATGTAAAGTCTGTATTGTTTTGAATCGGGAATCCATAATTGCTTTTGACAAATTTCTTGATGCTAGTGGTGACATCTATTTCTGCTTCTGACAAGTTCTGTCTTGAAAAACTTTCGAAAATTGCAGCTTTGACTGGAATTGGTGTAGGCAAGAAGCTCTGATCAACGTCC